TTTTCTGTTATTCATTCAAACCTGATTATCCGTATTTTGTGTATGAGCTCAGCTATATCCTGGAGTTACAACTGATTAAATACTGCTGATACTTAATTTTTTTATATATATATCCGGTTCATAAAGTCATTTTGACTAGGGTCTTATCTAATAGTTTTCAATACATCTTGCTGTTATTTAATTGTTGCTTAGATTTTTCGCATTCTTAAAAATAAATTTGCAATGATTTTTTTTTTAAAACGAAAGTGGATTCTCCGAATTCCTTAAATGACCAAATTTATTAACAACATTCAAACAAGTTTCTAATCATAAAAAAATATTAATATATTTTGGTGCATTAATTATGCTAAATGTATAAAAATAACATGGAGATTCCACATAAATTAACTGGATTGAAGCAATTGAATATTTGATTCATTTGGAATAACACGCTTCTAAAATAGGCATATTTTAAATGAACATCAATTACGTGTTACGATCAGATTGAATTCTAGTCGTTAAGATTCATTTAAAAATACTTCTAGCAATTTAAAAACAGTGAGATTATTAAAAGTACATTCAAAACATTTTTTTATGAAAGTATGCAATAATTCTTCCAGGAATTGAACATGGTTTTACCGAATGGAGTCTGTATTACAGTAAATAATGGTAAAGATGTTTTTTATGTGTATTTACTAAACATTTTAATTTATTGACGAAATGAGATAAATCATATTGATTTGAATTGATTATTGACATAAAAAATATATATTTCATTTATATTTTTGTACATGTTTCTAGCATTTTCATTCATTTATGGAAGTCATGTGAGTCCGGATATCCGGGGATGCAACGAATTGCAGTATTTTTGTTATTAATCTTAATATGCTCTATCAATGACATAAATAATTTCATTATTGATGCATGTGTTACAAATATGCAAAGTAACATTAAAAATTATTCGATCTGATATAAATCATTTAATGTTATGCTACCGCATAAAATCCATTTATATTGATTTTATACATATTTTTTCTACTTTTATATCGATTTGAAAAGAATAAATTCTGACGTTTTGCAAACTTCCCCAAACCACATTATCCTTGTTATCTGAAAGTTATTTACACCAATTGATTTTATAATCTAAGGGATTCACAAATGTACTCACTTCTCAGACGCTCGGAAAGTTTTTTACATTGAAATTATAGAAATTTTATTTTTATTTAATTGGTTCTATTAATATCTTTTTAAATGCAATATAATTTATATCACAACATTATTGTAATTATACTACTAATATATGTGACAATATTTAGAACAAATATACAGAAAAACCTTGAAAAGTACCGTTGTATACTTCAATTACACGAAATCTCAAATAAAACGTTAACATATTGTCACAGCCCTCGTAAAATTTTAAATTAGCATTTACCTATTGGTCGCAACTCAATTAAATGTTTAATCGGTCGCTAAATTACAGCTGCCACCTTGTATCAATTATAAACCAGGGTTCCCAACCTTTTTTGGTTTGTGGCGTCCTTAATATATCAGCGGCGCCCCAAGTCAAAACATTGGTCTATCACAGGGAGAAGTTTATGTTAATTGTAGTTTTTCTTCAATTTTCGCGGCACATAGTTTGGGAACTACGACTCCTGGTACATATATGTACCACTCAACTTTATGTCAAGACTAAAGACATTTTATCAGGTTTTATTTGGTTTATTTGTGTACCATTTAGTTGCCTAATGGGTTAGCATAGTGTTTTCGTTTGCGGCAACCCGATTTTTGTTACATCATCATATTTATTTACTTTAATCAATCACACAGTGGGGCGCATCATAATTTATAAGTGTATTTATTTAATATCGCAGAAGTATTTTTACAATTTTACATCTAAGAAGCGTTTTCTAGAAAAAGACAGCGAAAATGTATAAATGCACCAGATGCAAATGCAGACAGATGCAAAACGTGCAAAATCCAAAATACGAATGGTACTTATATGTACCACTAATACCCTTTATGTATTTTGGCCATAAAGGGTTAAAGTATACTTTTTCACAATTCTTAAAAGCATTACTTTGTATCAATGTACAATAGTTTGTACACGAGTAGTTGAGAACATCTTTTAACATAAAAATCTGGATACGAATCTGAAGTACACGGTTTTAAATAGGACGAAACCAATTAATCGTGTTATTCAAAGGTTAACTATATTATTATATAAAATACAATATAATGCATTCCAATTCTGAGTTAATTTCTTTACATAAAAAGATGCGTCTTATAGTCCGAACAATATGATAATTCTAATTGTACGTCAATCCAAATCCAAAATTTCTTAAGTTTTGTAAACTGTCAAACATCGTATGATCACGAAACACTGATTTCCATTTATCATTTTGAAATGATTAATTGCATGAATAATAACGAATTCGTATTTATATTGAAAGAAAATAAACCGTTTCTCTCTGCATGTCCAGATAATGTTATCGTCGTTCTCGTAAACGTATTTATGAAAAACATCATTTGTGACTCATAACTTCTCACTCGCAAATGATTACGCTTGCAACAATTCTTTTGTTAAATATCTTATTTTTCCATGCACATGCGATTAATACATAAATGTATTAAACGAGACATGCGTAATACATGTGATACATCTATTGTTATAAACATTCCTGCAATCTAAAAAAACTTATTTTTACATAGAAAAAAAGTACTTTAAATCACAATTTATTATACGTATGGAATTTTCTGTTTATACAACCTATTTGATGTTTACTAATAAGTCGTTTGTTATTTATATATATTATATTTTATTTCCAGACACTCTAATTACATTAAACATCATTTTTTTGTTAGTACTAGATTTAAAGAATACGTCAACTTGAAGATATTCGGTACGTTTTATTTCTATAATGTTTTTCCATATGTTAATCATAAGGCTAATGACCAAAGTATTTCTGCTACAAAATATTATATTTAACGATCCTTGAAAATGTGATAATTGTTTCAAATGATTTCTATTTAAAGAATATAGATTTTTAAAGTTTCCTAATATAATTATCTTATGTATAACATTTTTGTATTATGGTGATTGAAATACACATATAAACAACTTCATTTATGTTTCAATTATCGACCGTAGTCCTTCCCCCCAGGGAAAATGTAAATACAATTTTAAAAAAGGATAGATATTAGAAAAAGGATATTTGTACTTAGGTTTGTACTTTGTGATTGAAACATAAATGACATTATTGCAAGATATATTTGAAAACGCGTATTGTCTGAGACACAACAAATCACATCTTATGTAAGTATTTGTTAGTTGAAACAAATATAAATACTATTAGTTTGTATCATATAACATATTTTTGTTCCAGAAATTATGCTCTAATTGAAAAATCATTATATAATAAACAAACATTTATTTTTAAACTCCCATCAAATAACATAAATAAATTTAAAAAAACACATGAAACATTGTAACGATCTATGGAAAATGATTATTTTATATATTCTATAATATTGAATAAACTAAATATTATCAAAAAACAATTAATTTTCTAAAGTACAATGTTCTCAAATTACATTTTTTTTATAGAATGTACTCTAAGGACTCAGTACATTCGATAATATTATCGCATTCAATGCTGATCGGAATTTCAGATAAGGACAACGTAAGATCTGATGCAGTGAATACTTACAAATCAGATAAAGATAACAAAAAAGTATGTTTGTAATGGGATTCATTTTCATGGAAGTTTACGTAAAATGTATTTGCTTGAATTATATATATTTACGCTGTTTTCAACTGAATGTTATTTTTACAATATAAGTAATGTTGTTTAATTCTGATTAATTTCATCATTAAATACGTTTCGAATAAACATATTTTGTCTCATGCGTATTTACTTATAACTTTTATGTACTGAAATACCACAAAGTTGCATTTTATGTAGTTCTTCTTAAGTTCAATTGACGTAAATTGTGGTAAAAAAATGTTACAATTCAAAGATTCAATAATATTACTGATTTTATAGTAAACAATAGTTTAAGACATTTATTATTATACTACTTAATTATTATATGAATGTATATCGCATAGTACGGCTTTGATCAGTCCGCATTTACTATGGTTTGGTTTGAAAATTTGAAAATTTTAATTGAGCAAAAGGAGACTATATCCTATTTTTGTGCGGTTTATATATTTTATGTATTTAGTTCCTTGATCCGGTTTCCGGTTTCAAATTTAGAAGCGTGATTGAAACATTAATGACATTATCCAGTGATAATTACCACATTCATGCACTATAGTTCTTCTAAGTTTAGTTTTATGTCGATGAAAAGTTTATTGGAAAAATAGGTTAAGAAGTGTTAAAAATACCTTGATACAAACTTTTCTTATTGTAATGATCCATAGACAATAGTAAACTATTGAAAAGGAAATCTTTATCTATTCATAATCTGCTTATAGATCTAAATGCAATATTTGACCTACATTTTATCTAGTATCCTAAGTTTCATCGCTATACAATGATTCTTAAGAGTGTTATATTAGAATCAATATCATTAATGAAATGGCCAGACTAAATTAAACTAAAAAAATGATACAACTGTATCCGAATCTGCTGGTGTCTATAAATAGAACATTAACCCATTAATCTCAACTCTGCGTGATAACTCCAGTCCATGATTAAAAGTACACAAGCCCCCACATTTAATAATGAACACTCAAAACACTCTCAAATATTTTCAAACCTTATCGCAAATTCTCATAAAGTCATCACAATGAAAAGCTTGTATAATATTACATTTAATTTGTATGTTACAGGTCTGATGAACAGGTAATAGAAATGGAGAAACCCAAAGTCGAAGTTCCGGTTAAAAGGAAGCAGAGCAGTATAATCGATTACCGGAAGACAAGGATAAGTAAAAGCACATCCAATCTGCTCTTCAACACCAACAAGAACTCTCTCATAAACTTATCTGATCTGATAACGCCGGTCGAGGAGGAAATGCTAAGATGTCTGTGCGCCAAAGGGTACACGGAAAGACAGAAAATCCAGAAGTTTCAGACGAAGAGCGAGTCCTGCATCTCCAGGGACACTTTCACGAATATCTGGATCGACTCCTGCTGTTCCGTCTAGCAGAGAGAACGAGCGAAATACGAACATGCTTGCATGACATTAGACTGTGACTGTAAATAACAAATTGTAGAATGATATTTGTACAAAAGAATATTTATTATGCGACCAAAAAAAATTATATATTTATATTTAACTAAATGACTAAAGATTTTCCAAGAAAGTACTTTGTTTTTTCTAATTTAATTATTTATTGTTATTATTTATACGAATGTTATGTATAGAGTTAAATACATTTATTCATTCGGATTGATAATTGATACGTTACATTGTGCTAGGCAACCCAATGAACAATTCTCTCGTTTACTTTGTTATATCTGTGTTACTTAATATATGGAAAGCATATATTAATATAACTTCTTTTTTTTCTAATTTAGGAATTATCTATTATACAAGGACTAAATATTTTATTTTATATTTATTAAAGATAATCTAGTTGATTAATTACTTGGATGAAAGACAGGTTTATTTTTGTTATAAATAAATATTACTATATAAAATATATTTTACTTTACTTTTTATATAATTCCTCAATTTATACAAATATAATTACATAATATCTTCAATTTACAAAATATTGACATATTGTGAAACATTATCCAAATTTAACATACAAAAATGGTTAAAAATTACCGTTATTTTATAAATATGTCTTACTATTTGTGTTGTATATAATATTACATTAAGTACACTTCCTTCACTTCAATTTACACGGTATACACGCTACACTAAACGGGCTAATGCAAAACTAATAACAATATTCGTAACTGTAAGATTATGCAAATATTTGAAAAATTCTTACTACTAAAATATATCTTAATTGTTACTTTTTAAAATATTAAATTAAAAGGTGGACAGATCTATGATCAACAGCTTTTTGCAGCATTTGACTTTTTCTTTAATTATTATTGTATGAAAATGTTATATTATGTTTTTTTTATTGTTGCAATAAGTATTATTAAATTAAAACAATAATATAAATGAATTTGCAAAACCCCATAAAATGAATACAGCAGAAAAATTAAATCTAATCAGAAATCTTGCAAATTCTTTTACCTAGTTCTTGTTTACAGAAATGTAATAAAAATTGTCTAATTTTATTTCATCAAAATTATAAGAATTAATCAATATATTATTTGTTCATTGAATTAACTCGGCCACAAAAAGTTTACATATTTATTATGGGTCTATATCGCAAGTCCGACAACCGAAAGACCGTCTATTGAAATCTCGACGTTCGAAATCCCGACTGTATCGCAATCCCGACTATATCAAAATCTCGACAACGACTACTGTATCAGAATCTCGACAACCATAATCCCGACAAATCTAATCCCGACTTTATCAAAATCCCGAATATCGAAAATTTTTACAATATCATTTTCAAATTATTTCGGAGCATAGACACCTTGTGCCACACTTTAATTATTAATAACAATAAATTATTATTCATTTATATGATTTTGTTGAATTATTCATAATAAACATTAACATTATGAAATAATCTCAAATACAATTAGATTATTAATTGTTATTATTTATTATTAATAACAATTTAAAAGTCACTACGCTGCGGAATAATTTAAAAATGTTATTGTAGACATTTTCGATATAGTCGGGATTTTGATATAGTCGAGATTATGGTTGTCGGGATTTCGATACTGTCGGAATTTCGAACGTCGGGATTTCGATACAGTCGGCATTTCGAACGTCGGGAATTTGATTGACGGTATTTCGGTTGTCGGGCTTGCGATTGCCACCGATGTATTATATATTACGAATTTAACAGACGTAGCATATTGAGTGAAAACTAAATTATAAAAGACAACTATTCATAAATAAATTTATGTTTTTTTTTCTATTTGCTAAGAAATCATAACTTTAATCATATTGTTACTTAAATATAATAATTGCAACAGTTACATAAAATGCATAAGAATAATTATTCATATATTCATATCTTCATATATTCAACCGTTTAAGAATATATATAAATATATTTATAAATAAAACGTATTTATAAAATCATAAGTAAATTAAAATAATTAACTGTTAGGAAGCCTATTTTTGCCTAATTTAGTTATGATAATCACGATGAAGCCAAAATTAAATAATTTTGGCATTCATTAATGATGAAAATTTACTTTTCTTCATTTTTAATCTGCAGATTAATTAACAAAATATCGATAATGTGCGAATTGCAAAAAGCCCTTATATTCTTCAGATGCTCATAAATATTCTCTGATTTATTTTCCTCGAATGTGTTGTTCAAATTGTTAGTTCTTAGTACAATTCGAACAAGTGTATTTATTGTTGTTATTAGATGATTAATCAAAGAGTAATACAATTATTGGCGTGAATGCAATACAAGTCCCAAAGATTTCAATTTTTTAATTGCACTTTAAAAGGACATCAAAATTGTTCGATATAAACATTTATGAATATCTTATTATACAGTTGTCTGATTGTATTCCAAATTGTATTGTATTTTAATCAAAAAACTAAAAAACATTCATAAATATATTTCTATTTATGTACATCTGTTTTACCTTCATTATAGAATTTAAAAATTTAAAGTATAATCATAGAAATAGATCATGTTATAAATAATTATCTTTCTTACTATTTTGGGAACTGGAGAAGGCAAACAGCAGGTTAAATATAATCATACCAAATTGGTTTACTTTTTCATCTTATCGAAAACTATTCCATAATCTATTTATGAAACAGCAGCAAATTATTAATAACTAAAAGGATTGTTATTTTTTAATACAATTTTGTATACGTGTATACAATGATTAAGTAATTTCAACCAAACCAAAAACCAAACTAAAAAATGTTGGAAAACAATTATATTTTTCGAATTCATTTCAAACTATCGCCTTTAGTGCGAACTATGACTATGAGTTGGTCGACAAGCTAGTCGCACACTACGCGAATGTGAACCTACTGAATCTTCCTCCATTCCTTGAACACATTAACGCTATCAAATTATTACGTTTGATTTCTATCACGGATATTTTTTTCCAAAATGCTTCGGCAGGCTTGTAAACAATAAAATATGGAATATGGACACAGCATTGCCAGCAGTTCAAAAGTTATAGCAGTTTTAAGTTGGTTACAGTTCAATTGGGCCACCCTGTATACATAGTTTCAATAGAGAAATCAATAACAACAAGATCATAGAATAATAATATAATATTACAATTACAATTAAATTATACAAAAAATATAGCAAAAAAATATAAGAAATATTACTATCATGCAATTCAAAACTATTTATAATTATATAATTATTTTTAGAAATGTCTATTCCAATAGATTATAAATTATATGTAAATTTAAATAATAATAAAAAATAAAAATAAATCATGTATGAAGTACATGAAAACGTTTTGTTTGATATGATATGTTATAATTAAAAAAATGTATAATGATTTTGTATCATTGTAATCAAATAATTTTCAATATGTTATTATTAGTAATTGATAATGTTAAAATAAAGAGAAAACACTATAAAAAATGTATTGTATATCTGGATAACTTTGATTTTACTAATAATTATAATATTAAACCGGACTAATCGAGAAAATAAATACCTATAAAAATAAACCTTATAAGAAGAGACGCGCTTTTTAAAGGGAAAGAACTGATCATTTATGTATAGAAAAAAATGGGAACTAATTTGTGCTTAATTAAAGTTTAATTTGTTTTTTGCAAAATATGATTTGATTAGAATCTGAAAAATGTGAAAAGAATATGAAAAAAAATATAGTACAAAATTAATTTTTACTTTTAATAATAAATTATTTTCAATGTGTTGATCTTAGAATTATAATTACTGATTGACTATATATAAGTAATTACAATTCATATACATAATAACGGATACATTTTAAAGTCAAGGAAAGTTTCAATGCACTTCACAGACATGATTAAGAAATTAATAACTGAGATTTACTGAGTGATAAGATTATCTTTGATTTGTTTACCCGTTTTCGGTACAAAAATAAATACGGTAACGATGTAAGCATGCATATATAAATGGTCGGACGTGCTCTTATTTATTATTGTTTATCTCGAGGGTCACGTATAGTCCCCCACTTAAAGAGTGCTTTGCTCATTACTTCATTACAGTCCGAGTTTAGACCCGGCACAGACAATATGAAGTACTTTGGCGCGTTCTCGTATTCAACCGTCTTCTACATTCTGTATTCCTTATCGACGGCAGAATGCGAAAGAAAAGATTCGCAGTTTACTCCAATCGTCATGTGGCACGGAATGGGTAAGGAAATTTAACAAAAAACAACGAAGAAAAAAATAAATAAACAAAATCGAACATAACAAATAAAAAAAGAGCGAGAACAAAGCGATTCCCGCTGCGTTTGATTCATGTAAAAGCAATTTTCTTTCGTTCGGAAATTGATTTTCTTTTATACCGAATTTGAGTTTTTCCTCGCCTCTCTATTCTTCTTTTATTTTGATTCTCATTCACGCGATTCCTTCAATTTAGGCGACAGCTGTTGTTTCGACTTCAGCCTCGGATCCATAAAGAAGAAATTAAATGAATCGATGCCCGGCATCTACGTGCATTCCATCAAGATGGGCTCTAACGAGATAGAAGATGTTGAGAATGGGTTCTTCATGCATCCGAACAAGCAGATCGAGAAGGCCTGCGAGATGGTCAGGAATGATGATCGTCTTGTCGGCGGTTTCAATGCCATCGGCTTTTCACAGGGTGCACAATTTTTGTAAGTACTTTACATTTATGCAATACTCTTTCATTATTGAATCAGGTGAAAGTTCCTCTTATTACTATGACTTTCAATCAACATCGTTTCATAATACTCTTGTAAAATTGATGCGGCAATTCAACCTGATGCGCTTTTAATTGAAGGACTATCAAATTCGTATGTATTTCCGTTGTATTTCATTACAAAAAGCAATTAACACATTTACATATTTTGATTTAATTGCTGTTTTTATCTAATTATTTTTATATATCTTAATTAAATAGAATCTATTTTTAAGTGTAATCATTAATTTGTTTGATTGATATTTAAGATTATTTCAAAATGAAAATAATTATCTTTTAATTATTAATTTGATGATAGTAATAATCACTTAATACTTGTAAGAAATATTATTCTATTTATTTTTTTGATTAGTTTACATAAATATATATGAAAAATGATTAATTATAATTTTGAAACTGAATCACATTTATTAATTTTTTAATAAAATAAAAAAAGTTTTCTTTATGTTTTTAAATATAATTAAATGAAGAAACTGCAAGCAAATACAAACAAATTACTTTAATTTGAAATTTAGAAGAATATTTAGCAAATAATAATATTATTAATTTTAATTATTAGCTATTAATTATAAATATTAGCTGTTAAAATTAGGTAGCTCATAACACTTACTATTCTGTATCTTTTGTTTGGGGCGTGGTTTCATCTTTCACCAATCAGCGTTGACTATCGCTACGCAAAATGTTCAGCAGTGGTGAACTTTTAGTGCTACAAGAACCATTTTTATTCTAATATTTATTATAATTTATATAGTATAGTATATAAAGATTATTTCATTCTATAGTACATATAAAAAATATTTTAAATATTAATATTAAAACAAAGTTTATTGAAAGTTATATCAATTATGATTTGTAATAATAAGATATGTGTAGAAGAAGTGACTTTCCATCTTGACCGGTCAAAAAAGTTTGCAAATGTTTTTTTTCTATGAATAATAAATCTATGACATCAACTAACACTTTCTCATTTTCTCCTTGAACAAATCGTTCAGATAGGAATTTTCTTGTTATTTTAGCGAATAATGAATGAAAAAAATAACTTTAACCTAATTTATCCATACAAATATTACAAATAAATGCAAATTTAAGTATAATTATAAATGAACATGAATCATGAGATATCCAGTTTCCTTGGAATGTTTTGAAAATCAAGTGCGTATCAATTACTATATTCTAGATTCTGAGTCATTGCGGATTAAATTCACTATTTTCTAGTTCAATTTTTAAGAAGGAAATACACAATTTCAAATATTTTATTGAATAATAATTTAAATTAATAATAAAAAAAATATAAATAAAAGTACATAAATATACAAAATACATAAATGAAATTATTAAAATTAATTTGTGAATTACATATATCTATTTCATAGAATAAGTTTAACTAAATAATCTTAGTATATTGGAGCAGTGTTTTTCAACTTAAGGATTGCGACGCAAAATTGGATAGTATTACATTGTCGCAAAATGACACCTTGTGTCAAAACTTGGAACTGGTGAACTCTTAGAAAGAGTATCTTTAACATTCGTTACGAGTATAGCATTTTGTTTATTTACGACTATCTATATACATACTAAAAACGTCTTATTTTGGCAATAGAAACTTCCTGTTCCATAAAACTATACTACATTTAATACATTTTCATTACTTGATGATATTTACTTATTATTTTTTTATTGGTATATACAACAATATAAAAAAATATATAAAAGTATAGAAAACACACTTAAAACCAAGTTATACAATAGCATGGATCGTGTTTTATACTTATTAAAAAATCTAATTATTGTGTTTATTTCGAATAATTAACAATGCGAATTATTGATAATAATACAATTGTTTCATGGGATTTTTTTGTTTGTTATTGTAAATTACTTATTTTGATATGAGCCTTGGTGTATGTAAAGAACTAAAATATATTGTTGAAATTACCGATAGAAATTAGGTAATGTGACACAGTTTATATATACCTCGCAAAGTGCGGTTTCGATTAGTGCGGATTTACTATTGTACGTTTTGAATTTGTTTTATACAATTTATATAATATCTGATATAAAATAAGAAAATTAGGAACATAATAAATACTAATACAAAACTAATACTAATTAGATCATTTACATTGCATAGATTTTGCAATATTTTCAAAGACGGGATCATACGATGAAAAATATACATTGATCATCAGATTCATTATTTAAAGAATTTCTTTTTTTTATTTTATGTTTATAATATAATATGTAAGAACATTGATCGTAACCGACTGTTTGTGCAGCCTTGATCTATAGAGTCTAGTCTCTTTTATTATGAGATTTAAAAGTGCTCGATTAGTCCGGTTTCAAATAATCAATATTCAGAAAAGTAAATAAATGGTTGAATTTTATCTCAGAACGTGACGATTAGTAACTATGAACAAATTAACTAAATATTCATGTTCAAATAAGATTGTTGTTAATAAGTAGTGAACTAATTGAAATAATTCAAAATAAGTAAAAAAGATACTGATTTGTTCTTAAATTATTTTTAATTTTATAAAAATAGAATTGTGTAAAAAACAATAATTCAATTTGTCGAAAATGTCAATAAATATTATAATTAAAATTATTATAATCCTTTGTATAATAAAGGGTTTAACAGATTTCGATGAAATATGGTACATAAAATTACCCAAATAATAAAATAGCTCAAACGTAATTTTTATAAGACTCCTAAGCAACTCGTTGATTTTACTAACCTACCCAATATAAATCTGTTGTTTTAACCATGATTTGCATCATTGAATTAGGTCTAATGTTTTTATTGTAATCGGTTTATTTTTAGGCGAGCTTTGGTGCAGAGATGCGACGGTATTCAAGTGAAGAATTTAATTTCTATCGGAGGCCAACATCAAGGTGTGTACGGACTCCCAAATTGCGCGAGCCTCGATCACAAACTCTGCGATTACATCAGAAAGTTGTTAAACCATGCAGCATATTTGGAGTAAGTCATCAGGAAAATAATTGAATACTATTCTATATATATTTTTATCACTAGAGCCGTACAGAATTTCTTGGTGCAAGCGACATATTGGCACAATCCGTTAAAGGAAGATGAATACAAGAAAGGAAGCACATTCCTCTCTGACATCAATAATGAAGTGAACATTAATCAAACTTATATTGATAGGTTGATGAGCTTAGAAAAGTTCGTTATGATTAAGTTCGAGAAGGATTCGATGGTGCAACCGATAGAATCCGAATGGTTTGGATTTTATAAACCTGGTCAATCGGAGATTGTCGATAAACTGCAAGACACTAAGATCTATTTAGATGTAAGTAATTTGAATTTTAATATCAATAAGTTGCCGAGTTTGGACCACTTAAACTAATTTTTATTTATAAAAAAAAATAAAGGAAAACAGAAGTGGAGTGAAGAATTGATACTATCAAAATGATGTACTTTAGTGAAACAAAAAATCATGCGAGATGTCTTTATTTTTTTACTTCATTGTTTCAAAAATTTATAAATTTACTTTTTTGTTTTTTTTATTAATCTGCTTCTAAATTCATATAAACCAATTCAGGCAATTGTGATCTAAAATTAGCAATATAAGCAATTGAAAATATTTTATTTAAACCTAATGATATATTTTGATTACTTACTTTAATAATGCATAAGTTATTGAATTAGTCAACTTTATGTATTTATAGCCAACATTGGTTACAATATGTCGCAATTTCCTATATTAAATCTGTTACACCAGTGGTCCAACCTAGGCACAGGTTCGAATTCAACAATTCTCCCCTATTCATAATAATAATATATTAATTCTTTATGTTTTAGAATCGATTGGGGCTTCAGGATATGGAGATGAGTAATAAGCTATCATTTTTATCTGTAGATGGGGATCATCTGAAATTCGATTGGGGCTGGTTCATCGAGAACATACTCGAACCTTACTTGCGCTGAAGTTAATTACTTTAATGGGTTTTATTATCATTATTGTGTATATGTGTGTGTTTATGTGTTTTTTATGCCGCTGACAGAGGACAATGGATTGAACAAAAAAACAAAACAGAAAAAATAGCGCGGAGTGAGTTGGTTGATGAGGGGTACGAGGAGACAGACGGGGTGGATGTTTATATATATGTAGGTGGGTCTGCTTGGTGTGGGGGTCCAGGAACGTAGTATAATTTTAAATTACCCCATATTTGGCATTGTCTAGAGTCGTCAAAATACAACAAAAGGGATTTTTTCGCTCGGCTTTATAAACTAGTCTGATTAAGGGATGCGAGATTCGCCCTTATTCGCGGCGAACGCAAACAGCGTTATGCAAAATTCCTCCTTGTTCTGGGGGCTCATTCATTCATTCAGAATGCATTAGGCAAACAGGCGCAGCATAATATAACTAATGGACGACAACACTGATTGAAAAATTTCACAAAACATAAAGCGAAACATTCCGCTGAAGAGCGGATATGATTCAATGAGGATGATGATGTTGTGTTCTGTACAAACGGACCGAGAAAAAGCCTCGTTTTATCATCACATATTCAATTCATATTCCCTCTGCAGCTCTCGCACATACCTAGATATATATATATATATATAAACACATACACATGTAACTTTCGCATCCAAATAAATTGAGAGAATATCCAATTTGCTAAATTCACTCCATCACAAATAAAAAAAGGATGCACGCACATACACACATTTATACGCAAACACGTAACCCTTTATAAATTAGTTTTGTTACAATAAAAGCATGAATACATACGAAACTAATTTTATTAACAAGTTCCTGCACATGTTTAATAATACAGTGCAATGATTAGTTGTAATTATAATAAGTAATCTACTTGTAATGATTATAAGTGCTAAATCAATTTTATGTGATTATAATTTTAGTAAGATTAATAAAAATAAATGTATAAATATATTATTTAAATTAGTCCAATGATCATAGATGATTAAAAATATTACATGCAATTTAATAAATAATAATTGTCTAAAAATCTATACATTTTTTTTTCTATCGAAACAAAATAAACTTATTCTAATATATTCTATTTGTTTAAGTAAATAATTAACTATGTTTAAACTATATAAAAGGATTTTTTTGAGAAGAAACTGCGACTCTCAGAAGTTATGTAAAAATAGCGATTGTGATACTGCTTATGGTTTCCTACATTTATTTTTTGTCAATATCTTAAAAATGGCTCTTTGCTATAAAGTTTGCGATCTAGACTAACGTGTAATATTCATATTATATAGTTACTTATGGAAAATAGTTTTGGTTTGCTATCAATTCGATTTTCTTAATTATGCTTGTGATATTAAATAGTATGTATTACGCATGGGTCAAATTGACTCACCTGATATTTGTTTTCATTCTCATGCTATTGTAATTAATTGCGGAGATTGACATTGCTATTCTAGTGCAATTTTTAGTAAGAGCAAATCAGTCGTGAAGTACTTAAAGTGACCCGTCTATATCAAATATGTTGTTAAAATATTTGTATTTCAAAGTTGAATCAGTTTGGTTTCTCATGTACCAAAACGTGAAAAATCAGTAATTCTGTCATACAGTATGCTGGTATCACATATTTCTATAATGAGACTAAAGCAAGTGTGGATAAATGGTTGTATTTCCATGTATATCAAATATCGCTAATGTTAACAGTTGAGTTATATATGAATCCTCGCCATTGGGGAAAGAATAATTTTAAGTATTAATTCTTTGATAAAACAAGTAGGAGTGGAATATATGTGCATAGTCAAATATGCAACCAAAATGTTCCCCGAAACCTAAGAATTCCGATTGCAAATATCAAGCAGATTAAAATACCTGTTGAAAACAACCTAATGATCGGATTCCTATATCCAAATGAAAGAGGTGTTTTTTTGCCCAAGCAAGAAGGCAAGAATACAGAAAAATACAAATTTGTTCTACTTGTTAAAAAAAAATGCCCAGGCTGTTTTGAGGAATAGAATCAATTTTAAATGATGATATTATATAATAAGTATTAAACTGTTATTGGTGTAAAAATTAAAAATTTGTTCTATTTTTTTAAATATTTAAAAAAAAACTTTGTTTGATTTTATTTATTTTTTGATTTCTATCATTAATTTACATTTTATATTACAAATATACATTTTTAAATATATAATTAGGGCGACTAATAGCCGAATTTGCTCTGCGATTCTACTGTGAATCTGCTGCTATCCTTAACACTATCATTGTCCATCGACTTGGCTGAATGTCCATATGCTGAACCTCATTCATTTCTCTGTTGATCTGTGATAAACAATGGCCCTATTGCTACAAACATCGAGAGGGCTCACAAAGGGCCTGACTTGACCAGGATTTGAACCTGTGCCGACTAGCTCGTGTAGGTCGACTTAACCATTAGCCGCCCCCATGCTTCATTTAAACTCAAAATAATTATTATCGCTTGTTCATAGTTTTGTTTCTTTTGTAATGAAATTTTGAAAATTTCAATATTTATTTCATAGTTTCCTAATAATGTTTTTCATAAAATTACTACAATTACTAATCTATATGAATTTTCAATATATGGTTATAAAAAATGATTTTATATATTCTATTTTTAATAATCTATTATGTTCTTCATATTATATACAAAGAAAAAAGAAAAAATATTATGTGGAATGTATAGAAGTAATTGATTCTTATTCATAACTCTTTTATACAATGTATATCTTTTTTTTAATTAAGTTTTCTCCGGCTTTTGGTACTAGACGCAACATCTCTCCTCACTCTCCTCTTCCTTTTTTTGTATTATTTTTGTCCGTTTTGTTTCAGAAAGAAATTGCAAAAAGGGCTTTAAAGTAATTTTTGCCCAAATGGTTTAATTACTCTTAGATTAGTCTCCGCTGTAAAGCTCCACTCTCCTGCATCAGCAGCGGTTTAAACCACGAACACTAACACAACATTTAATGAAAATCTCGTTTCTTTCCCTCCGCTAATTAAATACTCAAACCCCTCCCGGCCGATCCTCATCCCTTGATCATCCACTAATTAACAGCATTTTCCTTAATTAATTAAGCCATCATTTGCGTCCTTGCTTCAACAATTCCTTTTTTTTACATGTTGCAATTGTTGTTGTTTTTTTCCGTAATGATAATATTAATGCTGATGATGTCAGCGGTGACGGTTTCTGAGGGGCGTCGCGACGCCGCATAGATGTTTAATTAATCAACTCTCTCTCACTCCATGAGCTGCTTGCTTGGTTTATATTAACAACATTGATCATTGGTGTATTCAAATGCAGCAACCGCAGACGACATCAAAACCTGCCATCCTTTTCTCTTGTCTCATTACAGTTCAATTCTGAATTATGAAAGGCATTCTCCGTCTCTGTCCATCGCGCACGTTCGCATTCATTCACACTCGTCCACATACAGACTACAAAACCCCCTTTCCCATTCATCTACTCAATTTGCATCCTTGCCAATCCAATTACTAATTCATTTAATCTCACACAAATTATCTTCTCGTTTATCTCCACCAAACATGAAAGGACAGTCAATTTCATAATACATTGAAACATATGTTAATCATTTAACAAAACTATTACTAATATAATTAAATTTAAGTAAATTTTACTATTAATTATTATGTTTATTATTTAATTAATAATTTCAACTAATAAAAAAGGTTATAATATTTTTTGCAAATAATTAATATTTTATATGTAATTATCAACGTTTTCGTTATTTTTATTTTTGTCTTATTTCTATTTTGTTCTGGAATTTATCTAATAATTTCCATAGAAATTGTCAATCCGAGATTAAAAGCGGACTAATCGAGAACTTCAAACCCGCATAAAATTAAATTGCGTAACAAATACATAAATTTTGTTGAAAGTAGTTTAGCAATTTAAATGTTCTGTGATGTCCAATGTAATGATATATTTCATTGATGATTATATATAAGAATAATAATGATTATTGTATAAATGAAAGTGGAAAATTTAAAGTTCAAATGTGATTTTTTTTATAAAGTTTAATAACCTTTACAAATATTTCTCCGAAGAAAAATCTGCAAGTATATATATAGAGTCAAGGTCTAACCATTGTTTTATTCCAATAAACACTCTATACTCGGAAGATTGGTTCTTAATATCGAGAAAAGTATAATTAATAAAAAAATTGGTAATGAGGCCATGTATGACATCAATTCACGTTTAAACTGAGTATCTTTTCAGAACGTTTTATATGGAAGAAAATGGTTTTCAAATTCGCTAATTGAAGCTTTTCTTTATTGAACTAGCAGGAGCAATGATCCATCTGTTATAATTTTTGGCGAAATTTTGTAGCAGCAGTTTCATCCATAGGAGCAATTTTACCTTTAATTAGTGGAACATCAAAATTTCCATAAACCGTGTTATTTCATAATGAATACGTATTTCAAGCAGCAAAATAAATATTGCAAATGTATTTTAATTTAACCAATTAATTAATTTAAACTGGGAATTTAATTTAAATTTTTACAATTAACATATTTTAAAAACTAATTGTTAATTAAATAAAACAAATATTTTTAAGGATTTTAAAGTGGCCGCGACTACTACTATGCTAAGAACTACTGTACTAAGTGATATTAAACATATTTAGTACTCGCATATGTATCGTATATCAATCCACAAGGTATAAGACCCAACCTTTTTCAAAATCATTAGCGTACGTTTTATATTAAGCTATGTCTTATATTGAAAATGGAAGCGTCTTATACTTGGGGAAATACCGTAAAAATCATTCTCATACAAATTGTGTTCATTTAGAATAAATTTAAAACATGATAAATAAAATTACTATAGCCCTTTGAAGCAGTTGACTTTCTTTTTTTTTAATTATATTTTTTTTATTGTATTGATTTTTATTTTGTAATTGAGTTTGGATTTTGTTCTGCTTCAATAAATATTATTATTATTATTATTAAAATAACTATTGTAATTTGAAGTATTGTTAAAAGTTCCTTCTTTTAAAAGTTATCAAATTAAATTAATTAATTAACTATCCATAAAATAAATTAAAATAATCAAAAAGTGTGAAATTCTAAAATACACCCACAATTATTTATTATTGATTAACTACTATTATTATTTATAATAATTATCTTTCAATATTACAAAACAAAAATTTTCAAAAATTTGTATGTATGTAAAAGAAATGATGTTATTAAATGGAAGATTCGCGTATTCGCTGAAACATGTGCTGCATCGTGCATTGTGTGCCTGTAATTTGACATTTTAATCATGGATTATTTGAATGGATGCACTTTTTTAATTTATTGTAATATTTTTGTTGTTGTTGTTGTTGATGAGGAGGGCCGGTTTGTGTCCTATTGTGTGTGTGTGTGGTGTGTGTGTATGCAGATTTTGAACAAAGGGCGGGTGGCAGAAGGCATTGATTGATTTTGGGATGAAATGAATGATTTTTAATTTTGTGCCAGGGCATTGTTGTTGTGTTGGCCTTTCGAAGCGTGCTCTCACCAACCACCATCCAACATCCAGACCAAGCCAAGCCAACTCAAACCCAACCCAGATGAATATATGATTTCATTCATTGAACGTTGTTTTCCCTCCCTTCGCTCGGCCGCCGAGATCCCCGCTCACGCCAACAGACCGACCAAACCCCTCCGATCCCTACTGGAAAACCCCCCACGATCCGCCCTTCGTTCCGGAAAATCGCTGTGGAAATTAAAAAAAAATACATACACACATATCCAGATGCATACATGCACACCACCCAACACACGCAAATACTTATACAATAGTCCATCCGGACATGCACATGCAGACACAACCGCATTAAAAAACGTGCTGGTGTGCGCATTCGGGGGGATAATGGAAAAAAATCACTG